CGTTTCTTAACCAATTTCTTCTTGTTCACATAAATAAAAAACAAAGCCATACTAATAAATGGAAAATTATTTTATAAAGCAGAACCTATTCCTGAATAAGAACCATAAAAGAAAAGACCCATTACAGTAATTAAACCAATACCTCCTATTGTTGCAATTAACCATAATGGAACTCTACCTGTTTGACTCATAACTTATCTCCTATAAAAATTAATTAAAAAAATAACTAGAAAATAATAATGCTAGAACAAAAATTAATAACAATCCCCAAAAAAGAGAAGTGCGATTTAATTCAACGGGTTGTTTATTCGGATTAGAACCGGTCATTATTTCTCCCTTTTATATTAATTTATCTCTGAATAAATTGCATTGCAGTTATAGATCCAAGAAAAAAAATAGTTGGAATAGCTAATGCATGAACAGCTAACCATCTAAAAGTAAATACTGGATAAGAGACTGGTTGGTTCATATTGCTTCTTGTCATAATATCATTACTCCTTAATTTGTTTTTATAAACCTCTAGTTAAATCTTCTAATTCTTGCTTTACGTTAAATCTATCATTTAATAATGGAACCTGTTCTCTATCATTAGAAAAATATTCATTTGGACGTGGAGTGCCAAATATATCATATGCAAGACCAGTGCTTGTAAACAGCCAACCAGCAATAAATAATGCTGGAATAGTAATACTATGAATAACCCAATAGCGAACACTTGTAATAATATCTGAAAAAGGACGTTCTCCAGTTGAACCTCCTGCCATAAAATTTCTCCTTTTATATAGCAATATATATATTATAATAATATTATATATGTTTATATTTAAAACCACATAAAAATATTCTTAGTAAGATCTAAGCTGAGTGATAGGTGAGTATTTGATTTTAGGTACGACCTTTTACCACTAAACTATGCTCGCCTTTTATTAAACTAACTCAATGATATAGTTAGTTTAACTTTTTATATCTTTATCTTCTATTGATACTCCTAAAAATCTTGCTAATTTACTGGCTTCTGATTCTATTATTGCAATAGGTATAGGTTGAGAAACTTGTGTTAATGGAATCTTATTATTATTTTTGGTGCACAAGTAAATTTCATGTTTAGGATTAATTCCCTGTTTAATACTTACCTGAACACATTTAATGTGATTTATTTCATATTCTAGACTAATAAAACGATTTTTGCCAGGGAATCCTAAGCGTAAAATTTTAATTGAATTATTTAATTTATCAAATTTATTATAACCACTGCCTATATCTAATGCAATAGTAAACCACAAAAAAACACTTATGAAAATCGCTAATGCTCCATAGAATAACATTAAGACACCTTGAGGAATAAAAGCTAAATCTGATGGTGCAATGAAAAATAAAATTGTTTTTTTCATATAAGAAGATAAACCTGTAAAGAAAAAACCACTACCAGCAGCTAAAGTAACAACTGCCCAAAATATATTATCCCATCTTCTTGCACCTATTATCCGCTGTACAATAATATTATTATTCTCTATAAGATAGTCATTATTTTTTTTCATAGAATTATATTTAGTATTTACAAACATTCAACTCTCCCTATCAGTTCTTACAATTATCCATAAGCTTATATTAGCAACCAAAGTAATTAAAGATTGACTGAAGATTAGCCATTCAAGAAATGCTATATTCTCAAAGAAATGCCATGTACAAGCGAGTATTGCATTATATATGAACAATATCATAGTACATGATAATTTATAATTAAAATCTGATTTTAACTGATTAGCTAGTTCCCATATGAGCTCTATAGATAAAAACCACTCCATGGTGCTTGCTATGTGAATTAACCATGTTGGATAGGATAAAATCATATTCTTATCAAAATGTATAAAATAATTAATTAGTCTTAAACTCTAAATGAGCTTAAATTTTCTTAATACAAAAAATAATATTTGTGCTGTAGTTAACATTATAGCTAAAAGTATAATATAATATATAGTCAGCATAAGATATTTATCTCATAAAATATCTTATATTGTTGTTATAAATAATGTATTATAATATGACATATCTTATATTTCTATGATAATAAATATCTTTAATTTTGCTATCTTGCTACAGGATAAAATATGACAGATTTTATAAAACCATATAATGATGATCCTTTTGTAGGCAATCTTGCTACACCAATTAATACTTCTAGTTTAACAAAAAATTTATTAGGTAATTTACCTATATATCGCAGAAGACTATCACCATTATTAAGAGGTTTAGAAATTGGAATGGCACATGGATATTTTTTTATTGGTCCTTTTTATAAATTAGGTCCGCTACGAAATTCTGAAATTGCTCTACTATCAGGATTCTTGTCTTGTGTAGGTTTAATCATTTTTTTGACTGTAGGTTTATTATTATATGGTAATACATCTTTTGATAAAGATGAATCTAAGGATCAATTACAGACCTCAGAAGGTTGGAACCAATTTACAGCAGGATTCTTAGTGGGTGCTATAGGAGGTGCCGGGTTTGCATATCTTATTTTAGTAAATTTATAAAAAAAAGAAGAATAATAATTCTTCTTTTTTTTATTATATATTCTTACTAATACAAACAAGTATGATAAAAAAAATATTAAGCTCAATCAAACATATACTTCATAATCTTATCGCAATATGTAAATGGATTATAGATAGAATTATTTTAGAGATAGTTTTATGGACAATTATTAATTCAATTTTTTTTACTTTATTTATTCTTAATTGCATAAAAACAATTTGGATAAAAATCTTGACTTACATTACTCATTCATATTGCGATAAGTGGCAACAGCAGATGGAGAAACTCGATTCAGATAACGGAAAATCCAATATTTAAAGACTGTATCAAGCAAAACAGGAAAAGTAGCAATAAAAAGAAAAATAAAATCTCTATTTTCTGGTAAACCAAAATGACGTAGAATAGCTTCAATAATAACTTCCCAGCCATGGGGTGAATGAAAACCTACAAAAATATCCGTAAATAAAATAATTAAGAAAGCTTTTGCTGTATCACTTAAGCCGTAAACTAATTCATCTAAAAATGATTTTAAAATTGTAATTTGTCTTCTGCCCAAAATCATTAAAATTGCAATTGCAATAACAGAAGAAATATCAGCAAGAATATTTTTTATAGCATTAGCACTCTCCTCTGAATAAGATTCAGCAAGTTCAATTGCTCTTTTTTTAATTTGTTGTTCAATATTTTCATTTGAAAAATCTTTTGTTTGACCAATTAAGCTTTCGAAATGAATTTTTTCTTCAATTCTCTGAAGTTCTGCAAAAGCTCTTTCTTCTTGTGAAGGATTTAAAAATATACCTGGTTGCTTTATATTCCAAAAATAATTAATGAAAGGGCCAAAAATAAAATTCTTAGCAATTTGATTAACAATAACAGGTGCTGCAATTAATAAAATTAGATATTTAATTGAAACAACAGTTTGATAACGAGATACTTTAAACTGTTCAATAAGTTCAGCTTCAGAATTAGGATCAAGTTCTTTCTTAAATTTTTCAAAGGTTCTAGTAATAGATCGTGGGATAGCTCCAGTTTTTTCAAATGCAGATTGGTTAATTTTTTGCAGTCTCCAATTTTTCATAAAATGTAGTATTAATAAATTAATATAAAGTAATAATTAAAAATTAGATTATTATGAATTTAATAAGATTTTTAGAAAAAATAAATGGTAAATGGTTTGTACAAAGAACAACATATCAAATTACCTCTGAAAAAGTTATTACTACTAAGGGATATATTACAATACAAAATTCAAAAGACCAGATTAAGGATAAATATATTTTAAAGGAGTTACAAAAGCCAAATTATAATTATAAAGAGCTAGCATTAAATCTAATCACTCAAATTTTATGGTCTAAGAGTCAAAAAACTTTAACAAAAGATTATTTATCTACAGTTTTAATAATTCCTTATCAAAATAACCCAAATAAATTTGTACGTATATTAAATAATAGTTCAATCTTAAAATGCGATTATATAAGTTGTACAGGAAAAAACTATACTGAATCTTTCAATATACTTATAGAAAATAATGATTGTACAATATGTGAAAAAACATGGTTTCCTAATAATAATTTGAAGTTAAGTATAACTAGTTTATTTAATGATAATAAATGTCTTTCAACTTCTTTCAGTTCAGAAATCCGAATCGTAGAGACTTAGAATAAAATGAAAGCCCTACTTATTAAACTAAGGACTTTTCATTTTATTCTAAGTCTCTACGATTCGGATTTCTAGATGGATCATTTGACAAAAAGCCAAAAACAAAAAGAGATATAAAGAATATTACTACTGTATATACTAAAATTTTTAGAGTTAACATTAGTTATTACTCCAATGAATTAATAAAGTTATTATTGATATAAATATATAATTTATAGTGTATATTTTTATGGTAAATATTTACAAACTTTTATTTTTAATTCTATTAGTAAAAAAAAATAACTTATTATTTATTATTAAACAAATTTACTAAATCTATCTAACGATAGTTTACCATCTAATCATTTAGGGGATATAACTGCAAGATTTAAAATTAAGGTTTAATTTATCTTATTTTTCAATCTTAATTTATCATATTTTAATTCTTGTATTTTTCTAAGAACTTTATCAAAATATTCTTTAAGATATTTATCTAATTTGGATAAATCATTAATATTACAAATTTTGTATAAATAATCACTATTGCCAGTTAACTGATTAGCAAATATAAATATTTCAATAAAAGCAAGCATATGAGAAATATTCCAGGTCCATTCAAATAAAGAAGTAATATAATGAAAAACTCTGATTAAAGAAAAGGGTATATATAAAGTTTTAGCTTTTTGTCCAGAAAATTTATAACATAACTCAATAATTTCTTCTGTGCTCCAACTCTTAGGGCCCCATAAGTTAAAATTTTTTTTTCTAAATATGGGTAAATTAATTGAAGCTAAAGAAATTTTTGCCACATCTCTTGCATCAATATAACTTATAAAATTTTCTCTAGAAGTAATAATAATAGGTTGATTTTCCAAAATTGGTATAGCATACTGATTAATTATTCCTTGAAAAAATCCAACTAAACAAAAGATTGTATAATTTAATTCTGAATATCTTTCTAGATATTGTTCGATTTCATATTTAAATTTCAATAGGGGTAAATCTGTATATTTTTTTGCATTAACAATTGAAAAAAATATAAATTTTTTAACACCTGCAACCTCAGAAGCTTTTATTAAAGCAATTTTAGCATCTTTTTCTATTTTTTCCATATTATAAAATTCATTAAGTCTAGTTGTAGATGCATCTATAACTACACTTACCCCCTTTAAAGCTTGTGGAAGAGTATTTTTTTTTGTTAAATCACCATATATCAATTCTGCTCCCCACTCCTTTAAAAAAGCAGCTTTAGTAAAATCTCTAACTAAACACTTAACCTTATATCCTTTATCGATAGCTATAAAAACTATTTGTCTACCAAGCGTTCCCGTTGCTCCTATTACAAGTATATTCATTAAATTAATGTGA